ATGTAGATTCTTCATTATTTAATTTCTTCAAATATAATACAGGGCGATAGTATTTGGTGGCAACAGCTTGAAAAGTGAAATGGACATTCAGAGTGATTCAACGCAAAATCGCAAAATGAAAAACAATAAATTAAGAAATTAAAGTCAAAACTCATACATATACTATATTTGTGGCTCTTTGATTTTATAATTACGGTTGTATGCAATAAAAGGTAGAACAAATTAACTTTGATATTACTTTTGCAAACATGAAAGGGGAAAATAAGCCTTTGGCGTATCCCATTACTATATTAAATTAATGCATAATATTATGATATTGTTAGATAAATTTACATTCAAGCCTTTTATACGCCATGTATTTTAAATGCTGAAAGAAAAATAAATGCTAAGGACATTCTCACGGGAATTGCTCATTTTCAAGGAACATTTTAAATCATTTGTTTGTATTCTTCGTTTTAAAAACAGTTATCTTGAAGTAGAATGCCTCTTGGAAATTAAATATCAAGAGGCTGAAGATAATAATGCAACTGGTAGTTCTTTTAATGGAAAAGTTTTGACTGTAGTTTTAATTATTATTGTTCTTTTACAAAAAAGATCAGTTCCGTTTTTGGTTTCGTTAGGAAATTTAACTTCATCTAGATTTGAGTTGTAATACCTAATCATCATTTACATTTCGAACAAGGACTATTAAAAATATACTACTTAAAATTCGAATTCGCTTGTAAAATGCTTAATAAAAGTTTCTATGCATTTTTAACTCGGAAAAGGAATAATTTTAAAAGTACAATTTAAAATTATCAGTAATTCACAAATGAAATAATTTTAAGCATTTCCAAACCCCAAATATAATTGGCTAAATCGTACAAAAATAAAGGAATTCTAAATAATGCTAATATTTGAGAGTACTTGCGTATTAATTCCGTCGACCGGACAAGTAGATCAATTTAGCGCCAATTATGGATGACTCACTTCTTTTAGAATTTCGCAGTAACGATATGGAGACCCTTGTCGAAATTTCCACCAACGGTAGACGGGATAATACTACTTCAGTACCTATGTGAGTAAAAGCGGAAATTCAGTGATAAATTTTAGTTTATATGAAGTGGAAATAATGTATGTTCACTATAACATCATTTTCCAGAACCTTGGAAAAGTAGAGCTTACATTGGAAAGCTAATGGCGGTGCAATCATCTGACATTGGTGCCTTGGAAGGTAGAGTAAACTGAGATGCAGGGGAAAAAAGTCATTTATATGATTATCTCATCGTCTTTTTAATCCATTAAAACAAGCAGGTCATTTAATTTCTGCAGTTTCTGCGTCTGCTTGCTACGGCAGCGAAAGTAGAAGCTTTTGCCTACCTGCAGTGGGTTATGTAGACAACTTGAAATACTATGATAGCATGCTACGTTTTTACTTCCTTCTATGAAGTAAAAAGGAAGTATTGTAATCGCGAAAAGCTTTAGGCAGCATATTTCAACGAAAATATCCACTTTGACCTCTTTAAAATGCAATTTAACGATGTATTTCGGTGATATATGTACGTAAGGACAGAATAAAACACTCTTTTCCTCCAAAAAAATTATAAAACTGCTTTAAAATGAATTCTGAAGATAATGTTTCGTGGTGTCTGTACGAACGTACGTATCTCGTATAACTCAAAAACGAGTAGCCTCAGAACGTTGAAATTTTGTATATAGGACTGCTATAACATGTAGATGTGCACCTCGTGTTTTGGTTGCAATCGGCCGCACCAAACGTATATAAATATATTTATATAATATCCTTCTGTACCCGGCTCAGTGATCTCAGTATCTTTACTCTTATATGTTTGTAAATTGTACATTTTTTGCTTTAAAATGACTGAATTATGTTGTATCTTCCAGTTAAGGTTTTTATGCTTTAGTAAATCTGTATGCAATTTTTGAGATTATCAACAATTTAAAATTGTTTAAGTGTCGCTAAGCCTAATAATGTTTTTGATGGCGGCAATTGCTCTTGTTTACATTTGAAACAGCAGGATAGCGGATTTATGCCAATCTAGAGTAACTTTGCTTCGCAACAACAAAGATAACGCCTTCATTTATTATTTAAAATCATGCTTAATCCTTTCTGGAATTTTTTCGAGGAAAAGCGTTTAAGATTACTTCGTAATTTTTAATACAGATATTTGAGTTTTTATGTATTTTTGTCTTGTCGCGGAGTGAAAATTGAATAATTGAATGAGAAATACACAATCGTCTGTGAAAAACTCTTTCTTTTTGTTTTGTTTTTTAATTTCTTTTATACATCGTTCTAGCTTTATTATAGTATTTGAATAGAACATGTGGCAACGATTAGATAATTCTTTAAATGATATAAATTTTGTGCATTCCTGAGTTTATAATATGAACGAAATATAATACTGTTAAGTGAACCTAGCGCCAGACTGTCGCTATGGTAAACGAAGTGAATTTTAAAGAATGCATTTATTCTATTGTGGTTTATGCGGTGTCGGCGAAGTAGGTTTAATTCAATCTAATAAGTTTAAATGAAATGCAGGAAAAAATGCGTATAATTTAATATTCCGTACAAGAAAGTCATGTCATAAAAGAAGAGATACACGCTTAGAAAAATAATAATGACTTTCTATGGGTTTTTTTCGGAAATAATTTTAATATTAGCATAAAAATGGAAGAAAATGTATTTTGATTTTACAAGGAGGCTTCACTATAAAACGAATGCGAGTCAGTACTGTTATTTCTGTCAATATCCGGAAGAGAAGTACTCGGAAATCATTGTTACAACATGTAGTCAGATATAGATTTTCGATATTCGTTTATCTTATTACTCTTGGGTATTACAACTACTTATATCTCCTAACAAATTATTTTGCACTTTAATATGAATCTTCTGTAATTAACATTCAGATGACAACCGAAAAGGACTTTTATAATGTATGAATCACAACTTAAAAGTTAAAATTTCCTGAAGAATTTGATATTAAAACTAAACAATGATTTAATTTCATTTCTTAGTATATTTTATAGAATATCCATAAGACTTTATATTATCCGACCATGGTCAGTGTGACGAATAATCAGCCTGTTAAAACACTACTTACGCAGTCTTTCAATCTGAAATGTTCAGTATTTTTTAAGTAATCATCAGAGTCAAAAATTTAAAGTCAAATATTTCTGTGTAGAGTAAAAAATATGTACCCTTACAAAAGCTTTTCATTAATTGAAATATTCTTACAAATGTCAGTAAAATAGTCGATCTTTTGAATATATTTTAAATTATACGGACTTGTGGTTATGTTATTAAAATTTATTCAAACTGAAACTGATAGTCTAGGGCAATGGCCACCACCTAAATGTTACCAGTCACTCGTAGTCGTTGCATATTAGGTCACCGATTGGTGCTAATATTAAACTTGTACAGAATTTTAAATTAATTAAATGCATTAGTACGAATTAAGACTGCTGATCGCCAGAGTTTGAAAGTCACGGGTATGAATCCACAATGTATCACAGATATAGCGTAATAGATTAAATTAAGATAGGTTTTAAAACTATATCCAGTCCCTGATGTCCTACGGGATTGAGGTTGAATTAAATACATACATAAAATTGAAGCTAACGCTGGTATCTGTCAAGACATCCGATATTTGTATAAGGCTGTCTGTCTGGTCAAGAATAAACTACAGGTTAAGGTCAGTGGAGGGAGGAATCTTTAGGGCAGCGTTTTTCACTCCGTGGGTTCGTAAGTCTTGACCTTGTGGCCCTCTTAGATTTTCCACTGTTGTTGATAATCCCAGAGTTTGGAAATTACACATGGTAATCGCCTATTATTTCCCTACCCAAAAGTTACATTTCGTGAAATTTAATAACGGTTAGCCAGCCCTCGGACTTCCCACTCTAGCCTTAGCAACAATAGAGGGATTTAAAGCGCTATAAATGAGATGTTCTTTATTAGTATACATCTAAGCACAGAACACCTATGCAAGAATCTGTTTTTATTTTGTTATAATGTACGAGAGGCATAGAATGTTTTAAAACTATATCCAATCCCTGATGACCTACGGGATTGAGGTTGAATTAAATACATACATAAAATTGAAGCTAACGCTGGTATCTGTCAAGACATCCGATATTTGTATAAGGCTGTCTGGCTGGTCAAGAATAGATTTAAAATACTGACTGCTAAACAATTTACGTTATTTAAACGTACTGATAACATTTATAAAATAAATAATAATCTTCTGTAAAATATATTTCTAATGTTTCCAAGTGCGAGAGTACAGTTAAAAATTCATAAAACCCACGGGAAGGGAAATCAGTACTTTCAATTTAATTATTACAGAAAATATGTAAATGTAAATTATCTATACAGAGAAAAGATACATTAGTTACCTATACGTTGCTAAGGGCTATGCGAAAGATAAAGACTGAGAACCTCTAGAGTGGTAAAATCAATGAACATTGGTAGTTCCGACCTGGCGTTTAATTCCTGGAAAACGGGCTGGCTGCATGTACGTTTTCGTGGTTTTCCCCATGTGTTACGTATATACGAGCCGGTTTAACTTAAAAATGTTCCACGAAAGCATCCCTTCCTTTAGGCAAATAGCCGTAATGTGCTTTGCCACATTCCATCAAACTAATCTTTGATGTATAAGGATTTCGCATTTCCGCACAGGTCGCTTTTGTAAGCGACCTTTGTTCCTAGCTTAATTCTTGGGAATTAAATGAACTACGTGCTAAAATATTTTCAAACTGTTCTCTTTTTAAACACGACAGCTTTCCTTAAAAACACCATTGAGAAGATATTCGCCTTAAAGCAATTAGTGCTTGATAATTTCTTCGTAATATATTAGAAATGGATGTGTGTTTTATCAGATTTCGTTTTACTTCTCTCTTGAGAAACATTTATTTTCTTAGTATCCGTTTGTTTTTAAATTTATATTTTTATGTGGTAATCTTTTCAATTACAGCAATTTGTTCCCTTTTTCCGTATCATTTAGGTTCAACGATATGGCAACATAACTTGTCTTTACAAGACGGAGAATTCATTTATGACGTCTTCCAGAAGAATGATGCATACCTACTCACTTTAAGTGATCAATATATTTCAATTTTTGACGTTTATAATGGTTCCCAAATATCTGCAACTGTGATCCCTTGCATCTTCCCAAATGATGTAAGACTTTCACCTCCTTTGTCTGGAGATAACTCTTCGCAGTGGATCCTGATATGCGCATACGGGGATAGAATCGGTAAGTTGTTTGATTTTATTCGTAATTATTAATTTTAAATTAGCAAACAAGTATACCATTATGTGTTTTGATTCTATGGGTGATTTCCTAGTTTTTAACTATATTTCATGCTTTTCCCCATGAACCAGATTCCTTAAGAAAAACCGTCATGTAGCTTTTACGTGCGCTTTGCTGTAGACAAGTTAATGAATAAATATTGAGCTAAATTTAAAAGCATAAAAATTGAAAGGCACGATCTAAAGATGAATGGACACTCATTGTCAAAATAAATTCACCAGGGTAGAATATGGCCCATATGCAGAAAATTTAAAATTTGGCAATTTTGTGTGTATATTATAAAATTTGTTTGTGAAATAAAATGTGGTTTTTTTACTATGCATTCGAACATCACGCGAAAGAAAATATCAAATGCTGACACAGTACATTGTGTTTGGAATAGACATTCTTTTTGGAAGACTAAATATTGTTTTCCTGTTGCTCATAATCAAAGTAAAAAAATTGCATCTTACTTTCACGTTTACCTTAAAACAAAATTATAACAAATGGTAGCAGAGCACTTCAGAAAGACGTATAAAATCTTATTAGACTTGGAAGCTTAAGGTATAATAACATTTTGATCGTTTAAACTTTAAAATCCCTTTCTTATTTTAATTTGGAAATTTGAACACGTAGGAATAAAAGTTGTTTAACAATTATTTTATTTGCTATAAAATGAAACACTTCTTTGGAAAGGAATGAAATCTTTCTGGTAGTAACGAAAATTTCCCGACAAAAAAATTTTTTAATAAAGTTGGGGTGGGGGAAATATGTAATCAGTATATTTAGTGCCGGTAATAATCACCACTTTAGTCTTGGATTTTTTGCCAACATTTTGTAGTTCTTTATAGAATTCATCCCAGAAACCCGGTGGTCGTGAGTCTAAAAACATATGAACCTCATTTCGGATGTCCTGTGCAGAATGGAAGATAGCACCAAGCAAGATGTAGCTGTAGGTGTGAAAAAACTGTAGAAGTCCGAAGGAGCGATGTCGGGGCTATTTGGTGGATGTGGCAAAAGATCCCATTCGAGTCCTTACAGAGTCCAGCTGGCGAATGCAGACACATATGGTCTTGCATTATCTTGATGGAACATAACCTTTTTGCGCTGGAACTCAGTTCGATATTTTCCCTTTCTAGCAGCGTCAACACGGACTAGCACCGTGCTGTACATCTTACTGTCGAGGGCTTTACCTTTTCCCAGACATTCTTTGTGGATAATATCACGGCAGTCCCATCAGATACAAAGCGTGATCGTTTTGTTAATTAAATTGCTCTTTGTAACACTGCCGGCAGGCTCACTGGGTGCTAATCAATCCCCGTTTCGGCCTGTAATGTTGTAATAAATCCATTCATCGCCAGTGATGGTCCGGTCAGAATTTCGTCCTTGCGTTCGTGCAGATTAGTGCAGGCTCGAAATCATCTGTCCTTATCTGCTTCAGTCAGCTCAAGCGGCACCCAGCGATTGAACTTGCACATCAAGTTTATGTGATGCACAGGACGAATGGACATGGCACTAACGTCTAACTCCTTAGCAAGTTCTCTAGTGGTTGCGTACTGATTTTTTCCACAAGTTCTTGCAGGCGGACCTCTAGGCCGGCCAAAGTTCTCTTCGAATGCGATGCTTCTCGAATGCCGTAGTACTTGTTTTCGAACTTTCAGTGCCAAACCTTCACAGTGTCATATGATGCAACATTAGTACCTAAAGCTGTACTCATGATTTGGTGACATTATGTAGCTGACCTTTTGCAAAAGAACTGGAAGTGAATGATGGTTCTGATCTGGTACCGTGATAGTTCCATTTCAGACGCCTTTTACTTAATGAGAACGATATGTTTTTACAGATTTCGCAACGCAAGAATTCTAAAGTCTCTTTCTTTCAAATGCCAAAATTATTTGACAAAATATGATTAAGCACGCCGACGCGAACTTTTTGCGTAGACTATATTTGCTGTGGCGAGCGGTAAATTTTCGTTAAGGCCCGATAAAAGTTGTCGAACTAACCATATTTAGTAATATTTCGATGTATCTTACAACAGGAATCTTTAAAAAATAAGCACGATTTGGAACAGCAAAGTATTTTTAATATGAGAAAGGAGAGCTGGTAAAGAAAATCACTAACCCAAAAGCGAAGTTATGTATAACTAGTAGTTACAAATGATAAAAGTTCTATAAATCTCCAATCTAGGAACTGCTCCAGAATATGGAATCAATTCCGGTGTTTTAGATTTATTTCTTTAAAAGGTGAAAGCATTTTCAGGAAGTAAAAAAAAATATAACAATAATAAGAATAATAAGTGCAAACAATACTGTTGCTAATATGTCTGCGAAGTAAAGAATATAATATTTTTAGATACAATGCAGTCCATAAAAATATTTCATGATGGGTACAATCGTATCAATTAGTCATACATAGTATAAATAAACAATAAAAACCGTCTAGAAATTTTTATTCCCATCACAGAAAAATGATCGTGAGCAGCGGGGACTTCATTAATTTTTGCCGAATACCCAGTTTTGTGATGACACCTAATATAAATACTGAATTAATAATAACTGCGGGTTCATACTGTAATGCTTATAGTTTAAGCGTTGGAATAGTAATGAAAATTTGTAGTAGTTTTTATAAGTACTACAGATAACTATAAAAAGAATTTTTTTTAATTATTAAGGAAAGCTTTCTTCTCTTCAGGTTTCCTAGCGCAAGACTTACTCAACCGTAATGCCGTTAAAAATTTACGAATGGTGTTGAAGTATATTATTTATATAGAAACTAGTTACGTAAAAGTAACAAACAAAGTACGCCAAAGTAACAAATGGTACATTCAAGTGATATAAACTTTTGCTTTGGAAAAATAGTAATTACACTAAAAGCTCTGTGGCAGCCTGTTAAATTGAATGAAAGAGAGAAAATTCTGATTTCGGTCTACATTAAGAGGATTCTTAACTTTTGTTGGATTAGTTCCAGTTTTAAAACTTCTAGTGGAAAGACAGATTTGAAGTAGTATGGTGTAAGTATTACAGGTGCCCAAATATTATATTTTATCTAAATAGTTTGTTTGACTGGGAAATATCTTGAATATGTCTGCGTATTTGCGCCTTAGTAAAATATTCATAGTCTCTTTAAACAAATATATCACTGATTTCTATGAATAACTGTTATATATTGGAAAGAGATTCACCAAAACGCGTAACTCTGTTTATGTGTGCCTGCCATTGGAGATAAAAAGTTTCATCCAACAAATGGAAAGCTAATGGAAATAATGAAAGCATTTGGAATGATATTTTTCTTGAAAAGGGAATCTTCGTTGAATTGTGTTTGTAATGGCAAATTTTACTTCAAGACAAGAAATAAATTATGAGGTGTTATTAATCTCGATACTCAATTTTTGTACTTATCACGTTTCAAATAAAAGTATGTTGACATGAAATGTTATAACCTTTTAAAGGGATAATATAGAGAATATAAAATTATCTATAGTATTACTTAACAATCTATCTGGAATCTAAAGACAAGCTGTTTTCAAATAATTAATGATTTTGCTGTTGAATATTATATGGTGTTAAGTGCGAAGAAAGTGATAGGGATTTTATGCTCTCGCTGAGTTTGAGATTTACGTGTTGCTACATTTTCTATATTTTTCATTCTTTCCTCAATTCACTAAAGCAATCTTCAGTTTTCAAGATAACTTATACAAATTCTTTCTTTTTATAATTAACCATTACTTTCTTCTCACATAAGCCACATAAAATTTGACAGCAAAGTAATAATTTTTAAAAGCAGTATTTGTTTGGGAATTCCTGATAGTGTGCTAAGTGTTGCTATGCATTTTTAAAAATTTTCAGACATGGAAATAATGGTGGAAACATCATTTTATTTGTGTTGCCCTAAGTTGTTTATATGCATTCGTTATATTATTTCTTTAAAAGAACTGCATCTGTTTATTTGAAACATGATACGGACAAAAAAGTGAGGATCGAGACTAATAACACCTCTGGCGCTAAAAATTAATGTCAAAACTTAATGTTGTGTCAGGAATTCTAAACATACACTGCCTTTAAATATTCTGTGGTTTTATTTTTGAATTCTATGCAGTGTAAGGGCGAAAAAAGCGATGTTTAATAATAAAGTTAAATCGATATAAAAATGTCTTGTTACCAAGAGCGAGTCCAAAAGCAGAATAAAATGCGTTAGCAAACCCTCTGGCGCGACATTAATTCTAAATGGTTTCAAACTTACATTTTTTAATAATTTATTTTAAAACTGTTTTATTAACAATCGGCTTAAATACATTCAAACATTTGGAATTAAGTCATATTCGGCAGTATACAAAAACGGCTGATGGTAAAAGCTAGTAAATGCTGTAATTCGCTTCATATTTGTTTCTTAGTGGTTAAGTAACTTGGATATAATATATTTTGCAGCTTATCTCTTACGTATAAACGCAACTTAATCTCCATAGAAAGGAGCTAATTAGCGATTGAAATAGAAACGGTTAGTTTTCCTGGATTTTCTTCTCAGTGGTTGAGCAAGTCAATACCTTAAAATTTAGTGGTTTCATCTGAAGGCATAATTCCAAAATCAAACAGATCGTGATTGGTTTGGCATAATAAAGTAACATCAAAAATAATTCTTCAAGTCTTTTCCTTTATAAGAAAATTTGGTCTAAAATGCTTCTAACTGTAAGCCGTATATGTATTAACTTAGCCATTTGAGAAACCAAAGAATTAAAATAGAATGACCTTTTTTTAGTACTTTATTGAAAATGCTTACTTTGAAAGTAGAAAATAAGGCATTTAATTTAAATGTGGCCTATAAGCATGTAGGCAAAGATGTGTTCAAGTGGTTTTTACCTTCATTCTGGTATCTACGGATAAATTCATATAAATAGGAATCAAATCATGTGTCTCTAGATATTCAACGAATTATTTGCCAGAAACTTCATGTTGGCACATATATCATCT